CATTATGTTGGTGGGTGGCTCCCAGGGTTAATAAGGACATTATGTTGGTGGGTGGCTCCCAGGGTTAATAAGAGCATTAAGGTGGTGGGTGGCTCCCAGGGTTAATAAGGGCATTATGTTGGTGGGTGGCTCCCCAGGGTTAATAAGGGCATTATGTTGGTGGTGGCTCCCAGGGTTAATAAGAGCATTATGTTGGTGGGTGGCTCCCAGGGTTAATAAGGGCATTATGTTGGTGGGTGGCTCCCAGGGTTAATAAGGGCATTATGTTGGTGGGTGGCTCCCAGGGTTAATAAGGGCATTATGTTGGTGGGTGGCTCCCAGGGTTAATAAGGGCATTATGTTGGTGGGTGGCTCCCAGGGTTAATAAGGGCATTATGTTGGTGGGTGGCTCCCAGGGTTAATAAGGGCATTATGTTGGTGGGTGGCTCCCAGGGTTAATAAGGGACATTATGTTGGTGGGTGGCTCCCAGGGTTAATAAGAGCATTATGTTGGTGGGTGGCTCCCAGGGTTAATAAGGACATTATGTTGGTGGGTGGCTCCCAGGGTTAATAAGGACATTATGTTGGTGGGTGGCTCCCAGGGTTAATAAGGGCATTATGTTGGTGGGTGGCTCCCAGGGTTAATAAGGGCATTATGTTGGTGGGTGGCTCCCAGGGTTAATAAGAGCATTATGTTGGTGGGTGGCTCCCAGGGTTAATAAGGGCATTATGTTGGTGGGTGGCTCCCAGGGTTAATAAGGGCATTATGTTGGTGGGTGGCTCCCATGCCATCCAGGGTTAATAAGGACATTATGTCAAGTATAACGTTACGGTGTTGTTAAGGAGCAGTTTGCATCCTATACACATGTTTGCATGGACTTCTTGTTGCAAAGTTGCAAGATACTGCAAAATTGTATTAATAAAACCCAACCTAATGTACAAAATTGGTAAGTTGAACAATGTTCTGGTCAACATCAGATGAAAGATCAAAGAGTTAGATTATCTAGATGTCAAACTTTTCTACCAGAAATGTCAATAGATGGCATTAAAAAAATTTCAAATGTGTTTTTTTTTTGTCATTTTTTGTGAGAATACGAATCAATAAAAACAAAATGGTAAAACATATTGCAAAAACAACTTTGAATACTAAATAGAACCATCATTCATCAATATTGTCTGAAAAAATCATGACACTCCTATTATTTCTCTTTGCAAATAAGGGCAACAAATATCCATAACTTATTCCAGAGTTATTCAAGTTTATGTTGATATAGAACTCTATGGAGATGAAACACCAAATATGAGCGTGTTGCAAACCCCTATCATTCTTGATCACCCAGAGTGAGCGTGTTGCAAACCCCTATCATTGTTGATCACCCAGAGTGAGCGTGTTGCAACCCACCCCAAACCCCTATCATTGTTGATCACCCAGAGTGAGCGTGTTGCAAACCCCTATCATTGTTGATCACCCAGAGTGAGCGTGTTGCAAACTCCTATCATTGTTGATCACCCAGAGTGAGCGTGTTGCAAACTCCTATCATTGTTGATCACCCAGAGTGAGCGTGTTGCAAACTCCTATCATTGTTGATCACCCAGAGTGAGCGTGTTGCAAACTCCTATCATTGTTGATCACCCAGAGTGAGCGTGTTGCAAACCCCTATCATTGGTGATCACCCAGAGTGAGCGTGTTGCAAACTCCTATCATTGTTGATAACCCAGAGTGAGCGTGTTGCAAACTCCTATCATTGTTGATCACCCAGAATGAGCGTGTTGCAAACTCCTATCATTGTTGATAACCCAGAGTGAGCGTGTTGCAAACTCCTATCATTGTTGATAACCCAGAGTGAGCGTGTTGCAAACTCCTATCATTGTTGATCACACCAGAGTGAGCGTGTTGCAAACTCCTATCATTGTTGAAAACCCCAGAGTGAGCGTGTTGCAAACTCCTATCATTGTTGATAACCCAGAGTGAGCGTGTTGCAAACTCCTATCATTGTTGATAACCCAGAGTGAGCGTGTTGCAAACTCCTATCATTGTTGATAACCCAGAGTGAGCGTGTTGCAAACTCCTATCATTGTTGATCCCCCAGAAGTGAGCGTGTTGCAAACCCCTATCATTGTTGATCACCCAGAGTGAGCGTGTTGCAAACTCCTATCATTGTTGATCACCCAGAGTGAGCGTGTTGCAAACCCCTATCATTGGTGATCACCCAGAGTGAGCGTGTTGCAAACTCCTATCATTGTTGATAACCCACAGTGAGCGTGTTGCAAACTCCTATCATTGTTGATAACCCAGAGTGAGCGTGTTGCAAACTCCTATCATTGTTGATCACCCAGAATGAGCGTGTTGCAAACTCCTATCATTGTTGATAACCCAGAGTGAGCGTGTTGCAAACCCCTATCATTGTTGATCACCCAGAGTGAGCGTGTTGCAAACTCCTATCATTGTTGATCACCCAGAGTGAGCGTGTTGCAAACTCCTATCATTGTTGATCACCCAGAGTGAGCGTGTTACAAACCCCTATCATTGTTGATCACCCAGAGTGAGCGTGTTGCAAACCCCTATCATTGTTGATCACCCAGAGTGAGCGTGTTGCAAACCCCTATCATTGTTGATCACACAGAGTGAGCGTGTTGCAAACTCCTATCATTGTTGATCACCCAGAGTGAGCGTGTTGCAAACCCCTATCATTGTTGATCACCCAGAGTGAGCGTGTTGCAAACCCCTATCATTGTTGATCACCCAGAGTGAGCGTGTTGCAAACCCCTATCATTGTTGATCACCCAGAGTGAGCGTGTTGCAACCCCTATCATTGTTGATCACACAGAGTGAGCGTGTTGCAAACTCCTATCATTGTTGATCACCCAGAGTGAGCGTGTTGCAAACCCCTATCATTGTTGATCACACAGAGTGAGCGTGTTGCAAACTCCTATCATTGTTGATCACCCAGAGTGAGCGTGTTGCAAACCCCTATCATTGTTGATCACCCAGAGTGAGCGTGTTGCAAACCCCTATCATTGTTGATCACCCAGAGTGAGCGTGTTGCAAACTCCTATCATTGTTGATCACCCAGAGTGAGCGTGTTGCAAACCCCTATCATTGTTGATAACCCAGAGTGAGCGTGTTGCAAACCCCTATCATTGTTGATCACCCAGAGTGAGCGTGTTGCAAACCCCTATCATTGTTGATCCCCCAGAGTGAGCGTGTTGCAAACCCCTATCATTGTTGATCACAGAGTGAGCGTGTGCAAACCCCTATCATTGTTGATCACCCAGAGTGAGCGTGTTGCAAACTCCTATCATTGTTGATCACCCAGAGTGAGCGTGTTGCAAACTCCTATCATTGTTGATCACCCAGAGTGAGCGTGTTGCAAACCCCTATCACTGTTGATAACCCAGAGTGAGCGTGTTGCAAACTCCTATCATTGTTGATGACCCAGAGTGAGCGTGCTGCAAACTCCTATCATTGTTGATCACCCAGAGTGAGCGTGTTGCAAACTCCTATCATTGTTGATCACCCAGAGTGAGCGTGTTGCAAACTCCTATCATTGTTGATCACCCAGATTGAGCGTGTTGCAAACTCCTATCATTGTTGATCACCCAGAGTGAGCGTGTTGCAAACCCCTATCATTGTTGATCACCCAGAGTGAGCGTGTTGCAAACCCCTATCATTGTTGATGACCCAGAGTGAGCGTGTTGCAAACTCCTATCATTGTTGATCACCCAGAGTGAGCGTGTTGCAAACTCCTATCATTGTTGATCACCCAGAGTGAGCGTGTTGCAAACTCCTATCATTGTTGAACACCCAGAGTGAGCGTGTTGCAAACCCCTATCATTGTTGATCACACAGAGTGAGCGTGTGCAAACCCCTATCATTGTTGATGACCCAGAGTGAGCGTGTTGCAAACTCCTATCATTGTTGATCACCCAGAGTGAGCGTGTTGCAAACCCCTATCATTGTTGATAACCCAGAGTGAGCGTGTTGCAATCCCCTATCATTGTTGATCACACAGAGTGAGCGTGTTGCAAACCCCTATCATTGTTGATCACCCAGAGTGAGCGTGTTGCAAACCCCTATCATTTTTGATCACCCAGAGTGAGCGTGTTGCAAACCCCTATCATTGTTGATCACCCAGATTGTGTTGCAAACCCCTATCATTGTTGATCACCCAGAGTGAGCGTGTTGCAAACCCCTATCATTTTTGATCACCCAGAGTGAGCGTGTTGCAAACCCCTATCATTGTTGATCACCCAGAGTGTGTTTCAAACCCCTATCATTGTTGATCACCCAGAGTGAGCGTGTTACAAACTCCTATCATTGTTGATCACCCAGAGTGAGCGTGTTGCAAACTCCTATCATTGTTGATCACCCAGAGTGAGCGTGTTACAAACCCCTATCATTGTTGATCACCCAGAGTGAGCGTGTTGCAAACCCCTATCATTTTTGATCACCCAGAGTGAGCGTGTTGCAAACCCCTATCATTTTTGATCACCCAGAGTGAGTGTGTTTTTGTCAAAACCCCTATCATTGTTGATCACCCAGAGTGAGCGTGTTACAAACTCCTATCATTGTTGATCACCCAGAGTGAGCGTGTTGCAAACCCCTATCATTGTTGATCACCCAGAGTGAGCGTGTTGCAAACCCCTATCACTGTTGATCACTCAGAGGCAACAGAGCAGCAACAACTCTGTGCTCTTCACTTTAGTCGTCACAGAACTTGTTTAGAATGAAATAATCAGTAATTTAGAATGAAGTAATAGTAATTTCTGGAGTAAAAAAAAAATAAAAACACTAATGACCAACATATCGTCTTGATGACGGCAAAAACATAAAAAATAAATTTTTGAAAAAAACATACTTAGAAATATGATAGAAAGAAGCTGATTTCATCAACATGTAGCCAGAATTTTGCACTATTTTTTTTAAGAAAACCTAAAATTCCAAAAATTTTGATCTTCAATTTTATGATCTCTAAATAGGTTGCCAAATTTAAAGAGGATGTAGAGGGCAGGTTACTTACAGCAACGTGGGAGTCATCCACAGCGCGTCTGGGAGAGTTGGTTCTTGATCCTCCTGCACGAACTGCTTGAACCAGCTGTCAACCATCACAATAATTATTATTAACAGTAGTAGTAGTAGTAATAGTAGTATTAGTTGTAATAATAGTGGAAGTTGCAGCAATAGTGGTCGTAATAGCATCAATAATAATGGTACAGTGGTGGTAGTATTAGTAATAATAATGGCGGTAGTGGTGGTGGTGGTGGTGGTGGTGGTGGTGGTGGTGGTGGTGGTGGTGGTGGTGGTGGTGGTGGTAGTAGTTGGTGTAGTAATGGTAGTAGTGGTGGTAGTAGTGGGGTAGTAGTGGTAGTAGGTAGTGGGTGGTAGTAGTGGTAGTTAGTAGTGGTAGTAGGGGTAGTAGTGGTAGTAGTAGTAGTAGTTGGGAGTAGTAGTGGTAGTAGTAGTAGTGGTGTAGTAGTGGTGGTAGTAGTGGTGGTAGTATGGTGGTAGTAGTGTAGTGTGGTGTGGTAGTAGTGGTAGTAGTAGTGGTAGTAGTAGTGGTAGTAGTTGTAGTTGTAGTTGTAGTAGTAGTAGTAGTAGTAGAAGCAGTGGTGGTAGTTAGTAGTAGTAGTAGTGGTAGTAGTAGTAGTAGTAGTAGTAGTAGTAGTAGTAGTAGTAGTAGTAGTAGTAGTAGTAGCCAGTACTATTGTTCCAGGCACAATACAGTAACTGGAACATTACACAACAACCGGCACATATAAGAGAGGAACTTATAAAGACATTTCTGTCTGTCTTATGTGCGGGTTCCTGTGTATACCATTGTCAAGTCACAACAAATTGTCACATTAACTGCATTTGTGTCTATTTCTAAATCAAAACTAATTATATTTGAAAAACAAAACTCGTTTGTCGAAAATGGTAGAAAATATCGACCAGTTGAAGATTAAGACACATGTGCAACACTTAAGTATCTTTATTAATGAAACACATAGCCTACACAGTAGACTTCTTCAGTCAAATACAGAGTTAACAGTAGTAATGAAATAAAGATGATGTAATCAGTCCATCAACCTAGGAGAAAAAGTATTTGAGGTGGTCAGTCCCTCAGCCTGGAAGAGTTCAGCACCATGGTCTGGAACAAGGTGGTCAGTCCCTCAGCCTGGGAGAGTTCATCACCACGGTCTGGAACAAGGTGGTCAGTCCCTCAGCCTGTAAGAGTTCAGAACCACGGTCTGGAACAAAGTGGTCAGTCCCTCAGCCTGTAAGAGTTCAGCACCATGGTCTGGAACAAGGTGGTCAGTCCCTCAGCCTGGAAGAGTTCAGCACCATGGTCTGGAACAAGGTGGTCAGTCCCTCAGCCTGGAAGAGTTCATCACCATGGTCTGGAACAAGGTGGTCAGTCCTCAGCCTGGAAGAGTCATCACATTGGTCTGGAACAGGTGGTCAGTCCCTCAGCCTGGAAGAGTTCAGCACCATGGTCTGGAACAAGGTGGTCAGTCCCTCAGCCTGGGAAGAGTTCAGCACCAGGTCTGGAACAAGGTGGTCAGTCCCTCAGCCTGGAGAAGAGTGCAGCACCATTGTCTGGAACAAGTGGTCAGTCCCTCAGCCTGAAGAGTTCAGCACCATGGTCTGGAACAAGGTGGTCAGTCCCTCAGCTGGAAGAGTTCAGCACCATGGTCTGGAACAAGGTGGTCAGTCCCTCAGCCTGGAAGAGTTCAGCACCATGGTCTGGAACAAGGTGGTCAGTCCCTCAGCCTGGAAGAGTTCAGCTCCATGGTCTGGAACAAGGTGGTCAGTCCCTCAGCCTGGAGAAGAGTGCAGCACCATTGTCTGGAACAAGGTGGTCAGTCCCTCAGCCTGGAGAAGAGTGCAGCACCATTGTCTGGAACAAGGTGGTCAGTCCCTCAGCCTGGAAGAGTTCAGCACCATTGTCTGGAACAAGGTGGTCAGTCCCTCAGCCTGGAAGAGTTCAGCACCATGGTCTGGAACAAGGTGGTCAGTCCCTCAGCATGGAAGAGTTCAGCACCATGGTCTGGAACAAGGTGGTCAGTCCCTCAGCCTGGAAGAGTTCAGCTCCATGGTCTGGAACAAGGTGGTCAGTCCCTCAGCCTGGAAGAGTTCAGCTCCATGGTCTGGAACAAGGTGGTCAGTCCCTCAGCCTGGAGAAGAGTGCAGCACCATTGTCTGGAACAAGGTGGTCAGTCCCTCAGCCTGGAGAAGAGTGCAGCACCATTGTCTGGAACAAGGTGGTCAGTCCCTCAGCCTGGAAGAGTTCAGCACCATGGTCTGGAACAAGGTGGTCAGTCCCTCAGCCTGGAAGAGTTCAGCTCCATGGTCTGGAACGATATCATTCCAGACTATGGAGTTGAACTCTTCTCCAGGCTGCTGTATGACATGGAATAATAATCTTCAGGCTGAGGGACTGACTACCTCATATCTTCAAGGTTGATGGACTGAATACATCATCTTCATTTCACTACTGCACCTGCTGACTCTGTACTTAACTGAAGAAGCCTACTGTGTAGGCGAAACGTTTCAACATTAAAGATACAAGATAGCCAGGAATTATAGTGCTTCACTTTACAGCAATTCACTTCACAGTGTTTCACTAATACAGCGGTTTTCAATTATACTCAATTATACATATTTTAAGGTAAGTAATGTGGAAGTAGGTCGTGCCCAAGGGTTAGGCAAGTGAAGAATTCCCAAGTATTAAGATCCCAAGAAGTTGCAGTGTCTGACAGGATTGTAGATGAATGGTTCAGAGAACCGACATGTTGATAAATTAGACACATGTGCAACTCTTGGGTTTCCTCAATAAATATTACCCAACTTTTTGCACATGAGTCTAATTTATCAAGCATGACGGTCTCTGAACCAAACCACTACAAGTAATGAGTGTATGTGTATATGCATTTACTCTAGGCATAGCTCTATTGCTCACTAATATAAATCGTGTAAACCAAGGTTAATCAAGCTTTAATATTGCATTTGAAAGTGAAAAGAATTATTATTATAACAAGGGAAGCGCTATAACCCGGAGGAATTATACAGCGCCTGGGGTGGGGGATGTGAAGGCATTCAGGGCTTAATTTGGGGAACTGACCACAGATCCAATTCCCTAAATCAAGAAGCCCCTCACCAACATCAATGAACCTTCCTTGAGTGGGAAAAGAGAAGAAAGCTGTTTTCACTAAACAGTGAATTTTGCTTTACAGTCCGATATCCCATAACCTAACCTGCATGAATAAGTGAGCCCTACAGTAGCCAGAACGAACCGCAGTAGTTGAAGTGAGGCCTACAGTTAGCCCAGAACCTAACCTGCTGTATAAGTAGAGGCCCTACAGTAGCGCCAGAACCACCCAACTGTATAAGGTGAAGGCACTACAGAAAGCCCAGAACCTAACCTGCTTTATAAGTGTGGCCTACAGTAAGCCCAGAACCTAGACCTGCTGTATAAGTGAGGCCCTACAAGTAGCCCTAACCTAACCTGCTGTATAAGTAGAGGCCCTACAGTGCCCCCGAATCCTAACCTGCTGAATAAGTGGGCCCTACAGTAGCCCAGAACCTAACCTGTGTTTAATGGGGCCCCTACATAGCCCAGAACTGCCTAACCCTGCTGTATAAAGTGGGGCCCTACAGTAGCCCCATAACCTAACCTTCTGCTGTAATAAGTGGGCCCTACATTAGGCCCATGAACCTAACCTGCTGTAGAAGTGAGGCCCTACAGTAGCCCAGAACACCTAACCTGCTGTATATTGTGGGCCCTACAGTACCCATAACCTAACCTGCTGTATAAGTGGGGCCCTACCGTAGCCCAGGAGAACCTAACCTGCTGTATAAGTGATGCCCTAACAGTAGCCCATAACTAACCTTCTAGAAATAAGTGGGGCCCCTACAGAAAGCCCAGAACCTAACCTGCTTGTAAAGTGAGTCCCTAAGTTGCCCAGCACCTAACCTTCTGAGTAATTGGTGCCCTACAGTAGCCCAGAACCTAACCTGCTGTATAATGTGGGCCCTACAGTAGCCCAGGAACCTAACCTTCTGTAATAAGTGGAGGAGCCCCCTAGCAGTACCCAGAACCTAACCTTCTGTATAAGTGGGGCCCTACAGTATGCCGCAGAACGCTAACCTGGCTGTATAAGTGGGGCCCTACATAAGCCCAGAACCAAACCTTCTGTATAATGTGTCCCTACCAGAACCCATAACCTAACCTCTGTATAATGTTTGGACCCTACACATCCCATAACCTAACCTGCAGAATTAGTGGGGCCTCTACATACCCAGAACCTAACCTGCTGTAAAGTGGCCCTACAGTAAGCCCGGGGTGGGCCGATAAACCTAACCTGCTGTAAAGTAGGGCCCTACCGTATGTCCCATAACCTAACCTGCTGGTATAATTGTGGGGCCCTACAGTAGCCCATAACCTAACCCTGCTGTATAAGTGGGGTGTTGGCCCTACAGTAGCCAGAAACCTAACCTGCTTGTATGTGGGTGGCCCAACGTAGCCCAGAGACCTAACCGTGCTGAATAAGTGTGGTGGTTGCCCTACATAGCCAGAACCTAACCTGCTGTATAAGTTGGTGCCCCCAACCAGTACCCAAACCTAAACCTGGCTGTATAAGTGGGCCCTACAGAGAATACATAACCTACCCTGCTGTATTATGGGGGCCCTACAGTAGCCCAGAACCCTAGACCTGCTGTATAAGTTATTCCCTACCGAAGGCCCATAAACCTAAACTCTGTATAAGATGGGGCCCTACAGTAGCCTCAGAACCGTAACAGCAGTATAATTGGGCCCTACATAGCCCAAACCTCACCTGCTGTATAGTGGGGCCCTACAGTAGCCCCATAACCTAATCCAGCTGTATAAGTAGAGCCCTACCTGTAGTCCCAAGAACCGAACCTGCTAGTATAAGTGGGGTGGGGCCCATACAGTAGCCCCAGAACTAACCTGCATTATGAATTTGAGTCCCAACAGTAGCCCAGAACCGTAACCGTGGCTGAATAATGGGCCCTACAGTAGCCCAGGAACCTAACCAGCAGTAATAAGTGTGCCGCTACCTTAACCCAGGAACCTAACCTTCTGGAAAAAGT